TACAAGTATCGAAAAAAATTCTTAGACAACAAACCAAAATTATATATATATATATATATATATATATATATAGGTTTCCATTCACTCTTCTAAATTTATTTGCAAGGTAAAAAGTTAATTTCTAATACTATTTTCTAAACGCATTCATCGCCACATTTTTATCATTATTTATTTATAATACAGTACAAATGATGTTTGTTAGTCAGTCAATTAAAATTTTTTTATATCTACATCTATTAATATTTTCTATTACACATGATATTGAATAATAATAAATACTGAAAGTAACTGAAATGGGGGAAAGATAAGTTTAAGAACTATCGATATGTAATTAGAGTTATGGATAGAGGAATATTCATTAATTATAAATAAACAAGAAAAAAAATTTAAATAAATAATAGAGTGATGCAATATATTTAACATCGTCTACAAATTATTAACTTGTTATATAAATATATTTATTTAGTATAATCAAATTTTACTTTACCATAATTCAGTTCAGTAATTACTTAAAAATAATCACACTTGTTACCTAATGTACAAATTCAATTTAATAAAATAACAGGATCATAACATGCATAACCACAAGTGGTAGGGCAGCACTTTTGGAGGCCAGGACATTGTTTGTCCATGGTACACAAATTTCCACATAATGAATCTGGCCAAGATTTACTTCTCTGTCGAAAAGATTTTGCATAGGATTTGTAATCGTCATCTTCATTTAAATCCTGACCCTGAGGAATTGACTGATGTCTTAAGTAATCCTGAGGGGACAATCTTCTTATGTGAGGACATAGCCCTATTTTGTTATCTAGAGGATAATCGAAATATATTGTAATAGATAGAATAAACTAAATTATGAAATAAAATATTTTTCCAAAAATTGAATGAATTCAATTATATCTGATATATATACATAAATTTACCTGAATAACTGTATTGATGTTCCAAATCCCTGAACCATTGTCTTAATGATGTCAAGACAAAACCTTTGGCATTATAAAAATTACCACAAAAAATTACAAACAAAATCAATTTAAATATAAAATTTAACCTCATTTTGAAATTGCTAACATATAATACTGTTGAAATATTTATTATCCAGCCCTTTATATATTGACGACCTATACTTTCAGTAATATGATATACAGGGTGAAACAAAATTTTAGGAAATACAAAAATAAAATGTATGAAATAACTTAAATTTTGTGTACTAAATTGTAACTAGTTATAATTCGTAAACTATTATTTTAAAATTTATATTGGTGCCCTTATTTTATTTTCTCTTATTTTATATCACTCAATATTTTAATTAAAGTGAAAACATATATATGTAGATAATTATGAAAATATTCTTTAATATATATAAGATATCTTCAAGATTCTTAAAAAAATGTTTTTCTATTTATAAATATATTTTTAATTTATTCGATATCTTTAAATTTCTTGAATAAATTCTTTACATAAAATAAATATTACATTCTAATTGTTCAAATTATTTATTATTTTTTAAATTTCTTAAGAAAAATGTTTTTCTAATTATAAAGATATTTTTTAATATATATGATATCTTAAAATTTCTTAAGAAAAATGTTTTTCTAATTATAAAGATATTTTTTAATATATATATATATATATATATATATATATATAATATAAATATATATATATATATATATATATATATAATATATATATATATATATATATATATATCATTAAATTTCTTAAGAAAAATGTTTTTCTAATTATAAATATATTTTTTAATACATATAATATCCTTAAATTTCTTAAAAAAATATTTTTCTGATTATAAAGATATTTTTTAATATATATGATATCTTAAAATTTCTTAAGAAAAATGTTTTTCTAATTATAAATATATTTTTTAATACATATGATATCTTTAAATTTCTTAAGAAAAAATATTTTTCTAATTATAAATATATTTTTTAATATATATGATATCTTTAAATTTCTTAAAAAAATTTTTTTTCTAATTATAAATATACTTTTTATATATATGATATCTTTAAACTTCTTAAAAAAATTCTTTACATAAAATAAATATCACATTTTAATTGTTTTTACAAATTAATCAGTAATAAAGCTACAAAAAAAAATTAATAGAAAATTTGATAATGGAATGTATTTAATTAAAAAATACAAAAATGTAAATAATAAAATGCAAATATTTCAATTTAATTCAATTTTTAAATAATAATTAGTTATATTTGGTAAACTATTATTTTACAATTTATATATGGGTTCTTATTTTATATGATTTACACACACACATACATATATATATTCTAACACCTATTACCAAATAATTCCATAAAAATGTTGTTAACAGAAAACTTGCTATATTTACAAAAAACTTATTGTTTTTTATTTTTTTGTATTGAATGTTCGAAAAAATTAAAAGAAATCAATTCAATAAAAAATCCAGAATTTATCTAATAAATATTATATAAATTTATATTAAATATCGCATAATCATTGGAAGGTTTATTATCAAATTCTGTTAAATAGTTAAATAATATAAATACATAGAGTATAAATTAAAAATTTTTAGGTATAAAAATAGTTCAAAAGAAAATTTTTAATGCGTTATAAAATTAGTTCTTTATATTATAAAATATGAAATATTTATTATGTAATCTAAGTATCTATAGATAATACTATTTATATCATTTATTTTTATTTTTAAGTTTCACCCTGTAAACTCTAGTCTAAGAAGTCATTACCAACGACAGAAAATCCATTAAGGCCTTTTACCTGTATTAATACTTCAACAAATTAGTCTTGGTATTAAAATTGAAATTCCTTAAATATATTTATGTAATCCTTAAACTAAATCTTCAGTGAATCACTTAAATAATTAGTGACTTACATATATAAAATATATCTTATATAATATATACAATTTTCTCCTACGGACAAGTACAAGGTTTTTGATCAGTATTTTTATTTAAATTTTTAATTCTAGGAATTTTTGCTCTGTCGACTTTTTTTCTCAAATTTGCTTCAACAGCATTTACTTTGTCGCTGTTATCCAGAACAGCTGGAATTAGCTGATCAGCAATTAAATTCAGAACTACACCTAGTTTTCGGATGCGTTCTGGGTCAAACTTTTCCTTTGAGAATTCCAACATTTCTGGGGCTCTATCCAAATTGTCATCTTGAATCTAAAAATAAAATAATAAAATATAATAATAATTTTGATACATTCAGATCAAATAGTAAAACTAAATTTAATACTAGTAAAAATTATTTTTATAAATTACTTATTTTAAGTTAGTAGAGCACAAAATTCCAATTTGACTTTGAGCAATTATTTTATGAAAACCAAACCAACTACATTACAACAAATAAAACATATCAAACAAACAACTATCTGACCATGTTCAATAAAATTCCCGGTTAAATCATCATTTCAGAAATGTGTTTTTCCTGTTTTTCAAAAAATTGTCACATGACAGGGTAAAAATGGGGCAGAAAGGGTGCAAACAGATCCAATACCTTAATTTTGATTTTAAAGAAATTTTTCGAAATATTAGCTACATTATTCAACCCAAGCATAATATAATTTCATAGGTACATTTTTTACAGAGATAACAATGTATATAACCTTGATCTGGTATTTTGTCAGAAATATTTATCAGCAGATTTGGATTAAAAAAATTGTTTATTTATTTAAATGTTTATTTAATTTATTTTTTTAGACATTACTATTTTTAACTTAATTACTTTTAAAATTTTTAAGATTGCTGGACTAAAAATATTATTTAAATTGACTGGAATATATATAATATTTAAAGTAAACTGCTAATTAAAAAATAAAGGTTTTTACATAATGTTTTGAGAATTGCAATAATTAGGATCAAATTAATTTATATAATAATTTTTAAGCAAAAATCTTAGATTAACAGTTGAAATTATCAAATTTTTGAAAACCAGCTAAAGTCAATTATAAAAATAAATAAATAAACTAGTGGTGTATAGCACCGTGCCTTGAAGCAAATTGCTAAAACTTTCCGTACCAAATTAAAATTATGAAAACCCGAATTATTTTCGATAAAAATTGAGATTTTTCCTAAAAACAATTGTTTTGTCAACACGAGCAGAAAGTTTTTTGAATTATTCAAATCGGATGCTTAATTCTCTCAAAAACTGCCATTATTTACACATTTAGCTCGGTATCTCCGAAACGGCTGGACCTGCCTTTGTCAAAAACTAATCACCACTTCTCCACTACATTACAAATTGAATGTTTTTTGGATCATTCAAATCAAATATTACGTTCTCTCAAAAACTAGATTTCTATTATATGCACTCTTTGCTCCGGCTGGACCTGCCTTAGCCAAAAACTAATCAGCACATCTCCTCATCAATAGGAATTGAATGTTTTTTAAATAATTCAAATCGGTTGAACCGTTGTGGACAAAAAATTGTATCCATACACACACATCCATTTTTTCTGAAGTATGCCAAAATGTTCAGAAACTTTCAAAACGTGAAAATATGCAAAAATTTTCAATTTCGATTTTTGGACGATTACAATAACTTACCCAACGGAAAGTCAATTATTATAATTATGAATTTAAAGCTATATTACATAGACTTACACAATAGTTTGCGGAAATAACACATAAAATCAAGAATATCGTCTTTGTACACACTGCCATTATAAAAACATACTGTGCAATGAAAAATAGTTTACGTGGTTTTCTTTTATATAAAAAAAATAATTGGATAATAATAAAAATAATTTAAATAACTTCAAGGTTTGCAAAAATACATCGATTTATATAACTACGTACTACTTTGTAATATAAAAGGTCATTAGAAAATTCAAACGACGTAGAATAATGTCTTAATAAAATTGGTTTAATTTATCCCAATTTTGAATAAAATATTTTAAGTTAAACAATTGATTGTATCATCATCGTGACAGATGATCACAAATCAATAAATATTATTAATTTGAACCAAATATGGATTTATCCAATGTAGATAATGAATCTTATAAAAAATATAGTGGTTTGGTATCAGATGGTGTGGAATCTATCGAACCAGGAATCAATCTGAGGAATCCTGGTTCAAAAATTACGAGTACTTTATATGTAAGATTAAAAATGAAAATTCTTATATATCTTCACGTTTCAAAAGTTCTTAAACATTAGAAAAAATGGTGTGCGATTCGATATCTATGAAATTTTTTACTCTATTTTTAGGAAAATGAAACTAAAGATATCAAACATGAAAGTACTTTACTTCTGCAAGAAGAACTTTTAGCAGCCCATCATTTGCAAAAAGCGTTTAAACATTTTGAATTTGAAAATGAGCCGCAATCTCATTTCACGAACAAGTCGACTGAAAATAAAGAAAACGAAGCAGGTATTTAAAAAAATATTTTGTTTTAACATTAATAACAATTAATAGTTTCTATTGTAGGAAAGCCAAAATCCAAAGTCGAAGAGGAAATTAACAAGTACAAAATGTGGCCATTAGGAATACCTTTCAATGAAGGTACATAATATTAAACACCACTAAAAATATTTTATAAATATATCGATTGATTTTTTTTTCTTGTAAGGTATTGCTACTGCAAATGAAGGTGATGCCGAATCAAGAACTGGTAAAATATTATACATGATATATATATATATATATATATATATATATATATATATATTAGGGTGGTCCTTAATATGGACATTTTCGAATTTCCTTGCTCCCAAGGGTTCAAATGGTTCCAAATTGATAAAAAACAATTTTCTGAAAGTTTTAGCTCTTAATATTGTCTTTTAGATAGAGCGCAATTCAATCAAACTTCGTATGGAAATTGCATAGAATTTTTTTTTGAAAATTAAAAAAAAAATTTAGGTATAACTTAGCGAAAAATAAATTAAAAGTGAAAATTCGTGTCATTTTTAATTGGAAATTCGACGCTCTGCAAAATTTTTGAAAATTTTTTCATGCTATTTCCATACAAAACCTTGATTGAATTGCGCTCTATCTAAAAGACAATATTAAAAGCTAAAACTTTCAGAGAATTGTTTTTTTATAAATTTGAAACCATTTGAGCCCATGGGAGCAAGGATATTCGAAAATGTCCATATTAAGGACCACCCTAATATATATATATATATATATATATATATATATATAAATATTATTTTAGATGATAATAATGCTCCTTCTCAATATGTTCATAATATTTTGGATAATCAAGTGGACCATGCAGTTGTGCAATCTACTCGTGTTCCTACATCTTTGTCGGCAACAAGTTTAGGTAATTTTAATATATTAATTTAAAAAATAATAGAATATATTAATCGCTAAAAGTACTATCAATTAATTAATTACAAAACTTATAAAATTATAAATTGTTTTGATTGATTTTTGAAAGCTAACAATGGGGAAATATTGTCTAAGAAACGTGTTAGAATTAAATTTATTTATTGTATGTAATTTATCTTTTTATTATTTTTAGGTGCCCCAGAAGCGCTTCCAAAACCATTACAAAAAGGAATGACAGGTATATTTTTTATGTAACCCATTTAAAAAAAATTCATAATATTTTCATTATAGTTTTACGTGGAAGTTCAAACCCATTCGGAAACATCTACGCGCCTACAACCCCACTTGGCATCTATCCAGTAATCGAAATTTTTCGTGGTACAAAAAAATTGAGAAATTTGCGAAAAAAAACTCTTGTGTTGAGCGGATTCAATATGAACGTATATAGCAACAAACTGTGAGTTTATTTTATTAGTAAATTTATTTATAATTTTTTTTAATTATTATTTTTCTCAGGTATTGTTTAGTGGGTCCTAGAAAATGTGGAAAAACCACTGTTTGTAAAATTGTGATCGGTCGTTGGGGTCTTGATGGAGGTGTAATAAGACTTTTTGGAAAATCGTATGACCGTTGTAATCCGTCTGATATAGGCTATATGCCGGAGGAAAATAAATTGCAACTTCAGTTCACGATCAAGGAAACGTTTTTCTACTTTGGAAATTTGTTCAAGATTCCACGCAGGGTCGTGGAAGACGTAAGTAATAATATTATTACTTACTGATGATAATAATTAACTTCCCGTAGGGTAAGTTATTGTAATCGTCCAAAAATCGAATTTGGAAATTTTTGCATATCTTCACATTTTGAAAGTTTTTGAAAATTTTGGCATACTTTAGAAAAAATAGATGTATGTATGTGGGTGTGTGTGTATGGATACATTTTTTCATCAATCGATTCCTATTGATAAGGAGACGTGCTGATTAGTTTTTGGCAAAGGCAGGTCCAGCAGTTTCAGAGATATCAAGCAAAGAGTGCAGAAAATGAAAATTGAGTTTTTGAAAGAACAGAGCATCCGATTTGAATAATCCAAAAAACATTCAGTTCGTAATGATGGGGAGAAGTGGTGATTAGTTTTTGGCAAAGGCAGGTCCAGGTATTTTAGATATACGGAGCTAAATGTGTAAAAAATGGCAGTTTTTGACAGAACTAAGCATCCGATTTGAATTATTCAAAAAATCTGTTGCTTGTTCTGACGAAACAAGTGCTTTTGGGTAAGCCAAAAAAAAATTTAGAATATTTTTTTCAATTCAAATTTTTTTTTTTGAATGATGAAAATAATTCGGATTTCATTTTTAATCCTAGCTAAAATTCTAAATCTTACTTATAATATATTTATAGGATTTAATATTCTTCAAATATTTCATTATTGTACGGGAAGTTCTAGCAATTTGCCTTAAGGCACGATGCCGTACACCACTAGTTTACATTACAGTAAGTTATAGTAATGGGCCGAAAATCGAAAATGAAAATTTTTGCATATCTTTACGTTTCAGAGGTTTCTGAATATTTTGTGTGTGTGTTTTAAATGTCAGCATTTGTCCACGTTTTCGGGCGTACGGATCAACCGATTTGGATGGTTGAAAAAACATTCGATTTCTATTGATAGGGTAATGTGCTGGTTAGTTTTTGGCAAAGGCAGGTTCAGCCGTTTCGGAGATACGGAGCAAAGAGTGCAGAGAATAGAGATCGAGTTTTTGGGAGAACGGAGTATCCGATTTGAATGATTTAAAAAACATTAAATTTGTAATAATGGAAAGAAGTGGACATTAGTTTTTGGCAAGGGCAGATCTAGGTGTTTCAAAGATACAGAACTAAATGCACAAAAAAATGCAGTTTTTGAGAGAACTAAGCATCCGCTTTGAATGATTCAAAAGACTTTCTGCTTGTCTTGAAATAACAATTGCCTTAGGAAAAAAATTTTTTACTATTCAATTTTTTTTCAAGAAAAATATTTTTTTGTATATAGAAAATAATTCACATTTTATTTTTAATTCACGCTAAAATTCTAAAGCTCACTTGTATACTTTCAACAAATAATTTCAACTTTGCAATTCAGTTTATATAATTCTTATAAATATTAGACAATGTTACAGTATTTATAATAATATATTTGAAAAGATTTAATATTCCCCAAACATTTCGTTACGGTATGGGAAGTTCCAGCTATTTGCCTTAAGGCACCATACCATACACCACTAGTTTACAATACATATTGAAACGTAAAACTTGAAGATTTGAGCACTATTCAATAAATATCAGGGCTAATAGTTCATATGAATCACAATATACTTCCATTACTATTCGCAGAGACTATCCCAGTATTCAACGCTATTTGAGCTTCCTGGATCTGGCAAAAAGCTAAAGAAAATGCGCGATCAAGAAATTCGGGCTGTAAGTTTTGCCTTGGCATTGTTGCACCAGCCGCGTTTGCTAATTCTGGACGAACCAACTGCAGGAGTTGATCCTGTCTTAAGGTAAAATTATATGTATATTTATATATATATATATATATATATATACATATATATATATTATATATAATTTATCCTCTATCCTATTATCTACTCAGACACATGATATGGCAACATCTACATGTACTTCTACGCCAAGGTTCCATCTCGGTACTAGTCACGTCCCATGATATGGCAGAAGCGCCCTTTTGCGATTCCGTAGGGATTATGCACAAGGGCTTCATGTTGGCCGAAGGGGCACCCCAGGACGTTGTGCGACATTTTGGGGCTGTACATTTAAGGGATATTGCCTATTTGTATGAAACAGGCGCCATCGATTTAGAAAAGGTAATAAAAGAGTTAGTTGATTAGGTAAATATTTTAATAGCTATACTTTAGGAAATATCATATCATTTAAAGTCTATCCTTTGTACTCTTATTTATTTAAATTTATGTTATTATTTATTATTATTGCTAGATGTTAAATTATTTAACAGTTGTAATAAATATTGTAATAAAAAAAAACAATAAACTTTTGGAAATACATTTTTAACTTCCCGAAGGAGAAGTTTATGTTTTCAACAAAAAATCCGATTCACTAATTTTATTTTTTCTCGACGTTTCAAGCCATTCTGAATCAAATGAGACGAAATTCGGTAAAAGTAGGTGTGTGTGTGTGTGTGAACAGATTTTTTGCCGTAAATCGACGTTTTCCGGACCGATTTCAAAAATTTAAAAGCCTGTCGATGTATCTCGATGAGGACTATTGTTTGTCAGTTTTGTGCAACGATCGTCAAAGCCGTTTCTTTATAAATAACAAAAAAGTGAAAAATTTTTCGTCCAATTTTAGGCCGCAATTCTGAATCAATTTTGAAAATTTAAAAACCGTTCGAGAGATATTGGTTGGGAATCGTGCTGATTAGTTTTTAGTAGAGATCGGCAGGGCCGTCTTCTTGTAATAAAGCGTAAAAAAAATTTTTTTCGTCGATTCTCATGATTTTTTTTTTTGACGGTAGATACCATAGTCTTCTAAATCATACTAAAATATGACGGCCCTACGATAACTCATTTAGCTTTAAAAATTTGTCAAAATTTGCAAAAATTGATATCGTTTTTTTTTTGGCATTTGTCAAAATTAGACCTTTCATCGACGTTTGCTCAAAAACTCCTGAACCGATTTCAGAAATTTAAAAACCATTTAAGATTTCAACCTAGACATCTCTATTTTTTATTTTAAATTAATTTTAATATGACCCTATTTGTAAAATTAGAAATGCATAAAACTAACAAAACTAAAACAAATTTAGACAAGCACTTCCATTCTTGTTCCTAGTTTATATTTTCTCCAAAAAAATGTCCATAAATTTGACAATATCTATTTATAAAATAAATCAATCTTATATAGGGCGATAAATAAAAACTATTAATAATATCTTTATTAAATCGTTCAATTATTTTAATCAAACTTTTGAACTGGTATTTTTACATAGATTTATTTTTATAAAATAATTTTAATATATCCTTGTTAGTAAAATAATGAATATAAGAATTTAAAATCAGCAAAATGAAAATTAATCAATGAGCATTAACGTTTCTCAGTTTTGTGCGACGATCGGCCGAGCCGTTTCTTTGTAATTTGGAAAAAATGTTAAACTTTTCGTCCATATTTAAGTTCATACTACCGAAACAATTTCAAAAAATCAAAAACTGTTCGAAAGATATTAGTTGGGAATGATACTGATTAGTTTTCGGTGAAAATCTACCGAGCCGTTTTTTTGTAATTAACTGTTGAAAAAAAATTTAAGCCGATTTTTATGGAACTTTTTGGGTGATATATATCATAGTCTTATAGAACTTCCTGAAATATTACGGGGTTACCGACAAGTAGTTTAATTTTAAAAATTCATCAAAGTTTGAGAAAATGAGTAGTTTTTTGAGGTTTGTTAAAATCAAAATTAGACGAATTACTTGGTATAACGATAGAGTACTTGGTCTTAATGAACATACTAAACCATTAAAGTCCTACGGAAACTGGTTCAATTATAAAAATTATTGATTTGTGAAAATTTGCTTTTTAAAAAATACTCGTTTTCAATCATATGTAATAAATCCACCCGGAATACTTTTAATCACTCATGAATTAATTTATTTTTTATTGATTAAGTCTATTATTTGCACATATCGGGAAGTTCATGTAACTTGCCTCAAGGCAAAATACCAATACCAACTAGTTTTGTATCATTTTCAGTTGCGAAGTATGAATAAAACTGAACGAGATGCATCTGAAGCAGGGCCTTCTATGAAGCCATCGGTTTCTGTAGGTTTTATGCCTGTTTCTGAAGCTCAGACAAATGTGCCAGAACCAGACTCAGATTTTGATAAAAATAGAACATTGTATGACATTTTTCAATAACTGCTTTATTTCAAAATTCCTGTACTAATGTATGATTTTTTTAAAATTTTTTAGTCTCCAACTTTGGTGTCCATTTCGTAGTCAATTTATGACCAGGAGTGTCTGGAGAATCACATGCAGATCTATAAGCAGCATTTCTAGAAATTTTTGTCGCCTTTTGCTGATTTTGTTTTTGCCACCTTTATTTTTGATCATTTTTGGACTTACTGTTGGTTTGATTCCGGGAAATTTACATGTTGCAGTCGGTCAGTAAATCATAATGCATGGATATAATTTTTTGGAATGATAGATTAAAATTTCATTTTAATTTGCAGTGAATTACGAAGGTAATTGCTCCAAAATGAAAAATGATTTTAGAAATATCATGCTCAGTTGTAATATGCTAAGATATTTGAAGCAAGATCATGCTGTCCAACCCATATATTATGATGTAAGCCATAATATTTATTTTCAACACAAAAAAAAAATTAAATTAAAATAAAATATCTATTATAGGATATGGCCAATGCAGAAATTGCTTTTCGTCTGGATAGAATTAAAGCGATTCTGGTTTTCGTGCCGAAATTGCCCACAGTATCTGGTGAGTATAAATTGCATATTTTGACATATATAGCAAATGATTTTTTTTATTGAAATTTTTCAGACGATTCGTTTGAAACTGAGCCCACAACACAAAGTACCACTGAAATTAAAATAGAAGATATGACTAAAGCTCCTCCAATGACACGTCCTGTATACTATCCTGAGGCTAATATTGGATACAACGTGGGAAATTCTTCTTTGGTATCTGATCCTTTGTTTTCAAAGTAAGAAATTTTTTTTGGACCCGAAAATATAATTTAATAAAAGTAAATGACAATTGTATTGTGAAAATCAACTTAAGCATATGACAACAAATAAGACATATCAAACAAATAACTATCTGACTATGTTCAGTAAAACTTCCAGCTAAATTATCATTGTAGAAATGTATTTTTTTGCTGTTTTATAAAATAATACCTTCGTTATTCAGCCAATACAAATTATATTTATTTATTAACATCCCGTAGGGTAAGTTATTGTAATGGGCCGAAAATCGAAATTGAAATTTTTTACATTTCTCGACGTTTTGGTGGTTTCTGAACATTTTGGCATACCTCAGAAAAAATGGATGTGTGTGTGTGTGTATGTATGTATGGATACAAATTTCCAGTCACGTTTTAGGGCGCACGGATCAACCGATTTGAATGGTTAAAAAAATTCGATTTCTATTGATAGGGAGAAGAGCTGATTAGTTTTTGGCAAAGGCAGGTCCAGCCGTTTCGGAGATACGGAGCAAAGAGTGCAGAAAATAGAAATCGAGGTTTTGAGAGAACGGAGTATCCGATTTGAATGATCTAAAAAACATCCAATTAGTAATGATTGGGAGAAGTGTTTATTAGTTTTTGGCAAAGGCAGGCCCAGCCATTTCGAAAATAGGGAGCTAAATATGTAAAAAATGGCAGTTTTTGAGAGAGCTAAGCGTCAGATTTAAATGATTCAAAGAACTTTCTACTTGTCTTAACAAAATAATTGATTTTGAAAAAAAAATAATTTTGTTTCAATTTTTTTTTCAAAAAAAAATTTTTTTATATCGAAAATAATTCAGATTTTGTTTTTAATTCTGACTATAGTTCTAATATACTTTAAACAAATAATTACAACTTTGCAATTCAGTTTATATAATACTTATAAATATTAGAGAATGTTACAATATTAATAATAATCTATTTGAAAACATTCAGAAAGTTCCAGCAATTTGCCTTAAGGCACGATGCCATACACCCCACTAGTTCTATACTTCTTCGGCATTTATAGTAAACTTTTTTACGATTTGAAACTTTCTGTGATAATATATTTCGTAGTCTGAAATAACATACTAAAATATTATAGCCCTACGATAAGCGACTGAAATATAAAAAATCACCATTGCGTCTTGAATTCTAATTAGAATCTATGACTTTGTGCCTATGTAAGTTCCTACCTAAATACATCTTAAAATATTAGGTTGTCAAATATCTCCCTTCCGCTTTTTTGCTCTAGGTTTCTAATACAAAAAGGCGGTAGGAAGATATTTGACAACCTAATATATTTTTAAAACACAGAATTGATAAAATTAAATGTGTTATTCAAATTAATTTTATATACTAACGTATACAATTACAATTACGCAACTAATTTTTTTTATAATGTGCCAGGACTCGAACCAACGATCTCCGACGTGTGAGTCGGACAAGCTACCTTCTGAGCTATGTCCGCCACATAATTAGCCTATAGTTGTTAATGTCCAAATTTATTAAATTTAATACCATTTAATTTTATTTTTTATCAATCAGTCCTGATATAGTGCTAATGGTCGACAACAGTAATATCTTAGTTCGCAACGTAATAGTAGACTCAGTAACCAACGCCCAACGCCACGTCCTCAGCGATTTTTCGGCGATACGTGGACAAAAACTGCCCATAGTCGTCGTAAGTCTATAACACCAAATTCATAATACACCCAAGAACTTACACAATCTATGATTTATAATATTTTATTAAATTGTTTAGTTAAAATCGGTTCACGAGCGTTCTTACAAGTACCGTCCACGGGGCATGCTCGTCTGGGGCGGAGTCGTCGGCTACTGCTTCGCCGCCGGGGCGATTATTTCCGCCGCCACTGTTGCGGACGATGATGATTTAGATGTAAATGACAGACTTATTGCAGCAGGTAATAAGAAGAATTGAAAATACAAATTAAAAATATATAGGCCATCTAACATTTTTCATTTTCATTATTTTTTCAACGGTCAGCCGAGGCTTTTTTTTCATTTTTGAATGAAATTATTATATTCATTATTAACTAAATTAATTTCATTATTAACTGGAAAGATTGTACTTTCAAATAAAAAAAGAAATTTGAGAAAATATACATTAGTTTTCCAAAAAAAAATTATTTGGCGGACCCTATATAAAGCATATAAGATTGTAGTAATAAATATTGTACAACCATACATACACAAACACGTATACAGCTCGACAAACGCAAGCGAAAACCGCATAACATCGTACTTTAAGGCAAATTGCTGGAACTTCCCGTACCAATAGTTATTTTTTTTAAAAAACTGAAAAGAATAAGATATTTGAGAAAGTTTGGAATAAAACGACTTTGAATTCGATCTTTCATTTTCTTTAGCATTTAATAGAAATTTCGGGACATTTTTTTGTTTTTGTCAAGTAACTCATAAATATCATAAGAAAGCACCCCTTTTCAGTTAGATTGGGAGAAACTAGATAAAATTTACTACGACTCCATGCCAACATTTATATACATCCCTATATAAAAGTTTGGAATGAAACGACTTTGAATTCGATCTTTCATATTCTTTAGTATTTAATAGAAATTTCGAGATATTTTTTTGGTTTTTGTCAAATAACTCACAAATATCATATGAGAGCACCCTTTTTTAGTTGGATGGGGAGAGACTAGATAAAATTCACAAAGTACTCATGCCAACAGTTATATACACTCCGATACCGGTTACAAAATCAAAAAAAACAAAGAAAACATATTTTTACAATGATAGATTAACTGGAAGTTTTACCGAACATAGTCAGATAGTTGTTTGTTTGATATGTGTTATTTGTTGTGATTTAAGTAATTTGGTTTTCACAATATAATTGCTCAAAATCAAATGGAACATTTGTACTCCGTTTTAATTCAAATTTAACGTTCAATTTTATTTCCCTGTATGTAAGCATAAATTTTGCTGCGCATCATTAATTATATTAAAATCTAATTAAATTCATATTAATTTACAGGAATTTCTCGTTTCGAAATGTACCAGGCCCATTTTCTGTGCTGGTTTCTAATAATTGCGATTCAGTCGTTAATAATGATGATAATTGGAGCATTTCTATTCTTGGAATCGATAATTTTTAACCGACGTGTGGTTATTGATAGGGGCTTGGATCATTATTTTACTGATCATACTTTGCGGAATATCCTTTGGTAATAATAAAAATAATATAATTATAAAATTGTTTAAATTGCTTACTATTCCTAGAACTATTCCTATCTCTACTATACTTGAAATAACTCTAATAAACTATATTATTCTTAACCTAAGCTGCAGAATTTTTTATGCTCTCTGGCAGAAATGACTAGAATAATTAAAATATAGTAATAAAATTATTTTATTGAAAATTTTAAAAATTCTGAGTAAAAATATTTTTATTATTATTTTAGGATTTTTTATATACAGCCTAGTCCAAGATAAGATAACTGCTGTTAAAGTGGTTCTGTACATACTATGTCCACTTCTTCTACTAAGTGGTAAGTGGTATAAGTAATAATTCTGGTAAAAAAAAATAATTTAAATATTTATCTATTTAATTTTTTTAAGGCATTCTTTGGCCTGTTAATTGTTTAAGCCCATGGCTCAGAAAAATTGTGATGTTTGGCCCAATTAATCTTGCTGCAGAAGCTATTACTGTGATTTTAGTACGATGGCAAGGAATTTTTACATGTGCAGGTAAATGATAATATAAAAATATATTGCAAATTTGTCCTATTAATATTTTTTTCATCAACATTTTTTTTATTTCAGATTTTCCTGGGGATTCTATCGCCAGTATTTTTTACAAGTTGTTTTATTATATTAGGTTCTTTAGCTCTAACGCGTTATGATTGACTATTGTTGCTACAGTAATAAATAATGTATTTTGCAGAATAATGTCGTTTTTATTTAATTCTAGAATATTAGTTTATTTTTATTAATAAGTTTGTGGTAATTTCTGGTAGTTAAATCTACGGTTTATTTCTCATCTATACTGAAACTTCGACGAAACGTTTGCAGATGGTATTGTATGTTCGAAATGAAAACTGGTTATATTATTTGAACCGAGAAATGAATTTATTTCCTTCCAAGTTTTGCAATATAATTAATTTTAATTGAATATATGCATTACTATTAGCAAATTCGATCTAATTACATACAAGAAATTTTGTAATAAATTCTTATAATGCCATAAGGCAGGTTCAAATTAAACAAAATGCATACACTATGTAGAAATAATCTAAGTAAGTTTAATTCTATTCCAACAATTTTGAAATACAAAATAAAGTGTATTTAGTTTTTTAAAAAATGGTATAGTATGGTATTTATAATCAAAAAATCTATTTTAAATACAGTGAACGTCTCGAAGAAAAATTTTGCCAAACATTTATATCGTTGCTAAAACCAAGAAATTTGCCAAAACCCTCCATTTAATTTTTATCACGTGTTTAATATTGTAAAATAATATAAAAAATATCAAATAATGTCACAGAAAAGCTCGTAGTTTGAAAATTTGATTCAACCAAATAATTGAAAAATAATAGTTAAAGAAAAATAATACTGGAAATTAGAAACAGATTCCCATAGTGTTTTTAAAAATAAAATTAATCAGAATCATAAATCTGTTAAAACTTAAACAAATTTAACTCACTTTTAGCATCTCTCATTTTTGTTAGAAGATAGTTGATATCAGTTATCAATTTAAATTATTATTTAGTCGGCTTCAGGAAAAATAAAATAATGAAAAAAATTCTAAAGGATATTGTATATTAGGTATAATATAATAACACTAATTAAATTAAATAATTTAGCAGATAACTTTCTAAGTAAAAATAATCTTAACATAGACTGTGTTAAATTAAAACATCATTAGTATAGAAAAACTCTAATAAAAATATTACAGAAGATTAGGTCAACCCATGGGTTACCTATTAACTAGTTAACTGTAATTGACGAGTATACTCGTCATTGAGAATTGGCATATTTTTGTGTATTGACGACTATAAAAACAGTGGCAATCTGCTACATAAATTGAAATTGTTGAAAAAAAACAACAAAATATACTTTGAAATCTCTAGTTGTTTAAAATATTTCGAAGCTTTGAAAAACAAGTAGTTGTAAGTTGCATGAAAAACCCAAAATGTGGAAATAGTATACTTAATAAATAAGAATTAATTTTAGCTATTTAAATAATATTTTGTACTGTTCATTTTAAAAATAGTTTTTGGTTAACAATAAGGGGCGTCTATTAATCAATTGAGGATTTTAAGAGTAAGGGTTGTTTGACAAAAAATCACGAAAAATCACGTGGGGGAGGAATGGGTCTATTAAGATATCACGTGTATTTATTTTTCACCTAAATTTCCAAAAAAATTCAAAAATTTGTAAATTCGAAAATTAGTCGAGAAATTTTACATAACTAAAAATACACATGATGTTTGATGGGAGAGTGTGGGTAATTTTCAAATATTACCAAGGGGGATGGGAGGAGGTACAAAATTCCCGAAAAAATCGATCACGTGATCAATGAACGTCCCCTAAACACTCTTACTGATTTACATGTATGATATTTCAACAGCGCAACTTACTTTGTGATTGACGAATATACACGCCATGAGCTCGATTTGCAGGACACAAAATATGCACACTGTTAATTGGTTAAAAATTGACAAAAAAAATAAAAATACAGCATCAAAACATAAATTTTTGGTACCTTATTAGTAACCTTCTTCAATCGTTTTTTTTAATCCAATAAAAAACTGTTGGGGCTGTTTATTAATCACCTGATTGATTTTTAAGTACAGTTGGACCCAACACTTCCACTTGGTGATAAATGGTAACATTTAAAATTAACCACAGCCACTGACCCAACATCACCTGTATTTTTAGTACCTACAAAAAACCGCAAAATTTTTGCAAAATA